CCCAGAGCGACCGCGGAAAATCGCCGCCTTCCCGGAGAATCCGAGCCACGTCCCCGTCATCATCAACACCCTCGCCACCAACACACCTCACCCTTTCCTCCTTCGCCCCGGTGACCAATAGGAGCTCTCGTAGGCCGGCTGACCCACGCACCCACCCCGCCCAACCGGATGCGAGAGCCCCACCCCCTTTAAATAGCGACCCATCTGCGGCTGTTATTACCTCACTAGCCAGAATCACTAGAGAGGAGCCGCTTCCCTGTCCCATCCCCGCGTGAGGCTTGGAGCGCAAGCGAGGAGTGCGCCTAACGGCTTTTTTTTTAAAAAAATGCCTTGTGGGAAATGTAGTCTTTTTGCTTATTGGGTCCAGTGCACTATGGGAAATGTAGTGAAGGTGGAGAAGTCGGCGCAACTACTTACGTTGCGGTGCATGGTGGGAGGTATGGATTTCCCTTCCCCCATAGCAGGCATGGACGTAGGAAGTATAGAGTGACACGTGAGTTGAAGGTGAACTTCCAGGTTCTTTTTTTTAAAAAAATATATAATTCTCTTCTTACACGATCAAAGGAGAAGGTAAGCCTCCTATTGAAATTAATTGAGAAATTTATGATTTAGACACAGGCAGGATTTTGTAGCAGCACACAGAAAGAGAAGATGACAGCAACCTCAGGTTTTTATTTTGTATGAATGGAAAGTGTGACTCCTACAGTTCCATTCCGTTTTTTAAAGTCTGTATTGAGTACACAATGCAAATATTGACCCCAGTCTGAATCCAGTCCATGCAGATTTGTGCTCCACTGACTTGAATGCAGGATAGGTAAAGGTAAAGGTTCTCCTTGACAATTTGTCCAGTCGTGTCCAACTCTAGGGCACGGTGCTCATCTCTGTTTCCATTCCATAGAGCTAGCGTTTGTCCGAAGACAATCTTCCGTGGTCACGTGGCCAGCACGACTAGACACAGAATGCCATTACCTTCCCACCATGGTGGCACCTATTCATCTACTTGCATTTTTGCACTTTGCATGCTTTCAAACCCCTAGGTTGGCGGGAGCTGGGACAAGCGACGGGGGCTCACTCCGTCACATGGATTCGATTTTACAACTGCAGATCTTCTGACCTTGCAGCACAGAGGCTTCTGCAGTTTAACCTGCAGCGCCACCATTCAGGATAGAATGGACTGTTTTATCATTTCCAGAAGTATAGGGATTCAGAGAGTAGAATAGCTTAAAGTTCCTCAGAGTAGATCACCCCTTTTCTCATTAACTGGCACTTGCATTCTCAACACCTCAGTCTGAGATATTAGTAGGTAAAAAAAATAAAAGATCAAACAACAAACAATTGAACAGATCAAACAGTAAACAATAACAGACTTCAACAGACTCAAGAGGAAAAAGAACAGAGCAAAGATGTGGCTCTGTATTCAAAATCAGAGACAGGGAAGGAATGATTGTTTACTGCTAGATACATTGGCAGTCAACCCAACCCAGAAAGATCCCACCACCACATCTTCTCCAGGCAGCATGCCAAGCTGTAAAAACTTAGACACTGCAAACTCCAGTCTGTATCCTGTTAGATGACGTCCAGCTACCACTGGGCTCAGAATCCTCTTGTCTAGGGTTGGTGGGCGTCGGGGGTGGCTGCGAGGGATGGGAACCCTCAGAATCCTCTTGTCTAGGGTTGGTGGGTGTCGGGGGTGGTTGCGAGGGATGGGAATTGCCTTGTGCTAGGCGTCGGCTCTCCGGGCGGCCATCAATGCAAAGGCATAGGGTGATTAGTCCTTGCGGCGTATTGGGTCGGTCTACACATGCCAGCTCATCTTTTCTGGAGGAAGCAGAGGGCACTTGACCTGGGAAGCAGCGTTGGTTTGAGACTGCAGTTGTTGCTGCTGAAGCTGTGCCACCGTTTGAGGAAGGAACTGCACTTGAGGAAGCACAGCATTCAGCGGATCCGAACCTTCGCTTGCTTCTCCTTCCATCTTGCGGGGGAGTGTGGTGGTGGAAGCCATCTGTCACGTTCCCGGGGGTTTCAACAACAGAGTCCGATATGCCAGTCCAATGTCAGAAGTTCAGCGAATGCAGAGCCGATACCAAAATGCCAAAGCCAAATCACAAACCGTAATCCGAGGTCAGGGTCCAAAGCCAAATCACACAATGTAGTCCGGGGTCAGAGTCCAAAGCCAAGGGTCCAGGGAACAAGATTCAAGGTAGCCAGGAGCGTGGATGTGAGGCCAGAGATTTGCCCCCGGCATTGCAGATGTCTCTCACGCTGGCCTGGGCTTCTCCCACGTGGGATCTGGTGCACGTGGGGCGAGCTCCCTCAGGCCCACAGCATGGCTGGCGCTGATCTGGACTGGCCAGCTGGGACTGGTGGCTTTGGGCATGTGGCAGGAGCCAAGGATTGAGAATTGAGGGCCCGCCGGCTGGCAAAAGCAACGCGGGTGTCCCATAACCTCCCCTCGTTGACTTGAGGGTGGAGGGAAGCTTTAATATATTTCCAGTAGGCGTGCCACTCAAGGAGCTCCTGTTCTTTGAAGGCCAGGAAGCCTTCCCCTGTTAAAAATTCTAGTAGAGAGAAATGGAAGGATTTTTTAAAAATATGCCTTTAATTTAGAGCAAGTATAGAAAATTTTAGTTATTTCTTTAGCAAAAGGGTACAGACATAATGAAGAACTCCATAAAGCTAACACCCCAATAAAATAGAATTACATTTTTCATCTGATATCTCAGTCAAGTCATTTAATAGGGCTAAGTAAAGGACTGCAGGAACTTCATGGGAACCCCGAGAATATTTTTTTATAGAACATGGATCTAGTAGAGAGAAATGGAAGGATTTTTTAAAAATATGCCTTTAATTTAGAGCAAGTATAGAAAATTTTAGTTATTTCTTTAGCAAAAGGGTACAGACATAATGAAGAACTCCATAAAGCTAACACCCCAATAAAATAGAATTACATTTTAATACACCAGTGCCACCTTCACCCTCAGGGGTAGCATTAATAATATTTTGAAATAAAGGGGTCACCCAGCTGTGCAAACACTTTGCTTAAAACCACAGCCTGGGCATACGATAACGTTGCTGAAGTTATTTAGGATGACAAGGAGTTAAAAGAAAATAAGATTACCAGCGATGTCTCCAAAATTTGTCCCAGCTTTCTTGATGTGCAACTCTGTCCCAGTTTTCTTGATGTGCGGTCACATTGTAAATCAGAAACTGCTAGAGGAGAAACAAGAGGGGGAAAAATGAACCACAATCAAGAACTCAAATTGAGCCCATTTCCTCCCAGTTCCCACAGCTATAAATACTGAACTATCGAACAAACAGCAACAGAGCATGGACAGAGTTCCTACTCCAGTCCTCTGAAGATGCCCATGGCCACAGAGACTGGCGAAACATCAGGAAGAGCAACCTTCAGAACACTGCCAAAGAGCCCGAAAAACCCACAACAACTATCAAATTAATCCAATTATTAAATGAAACAATTTCTCAAACTAGCAATTTAAATGAACTTACCGGTAAATAAAATTTTAAATAAAAATACATTTGTTTCAAAAATAAAAATAGAAATAGAATAGAACAAGCATAATACAGCAACTAATATACACTAACCACGATGTAAGAAAAGTAAATTAAACGAAAATAATAAAGAAAATAAACCCAAGATTCTCCCCCATAACCAATATTGACCTTTTCTTCATTTATAATTTTTTCCACCAAAATCCAAATAATAAGGAGCAAAAAGAGCAAAAGCCACATGGTGAACCAACTGGTGTTGGTGACCAAACGTGCTTGCTCTGAAAGCCTGCCTCTGAAAGGCTGGCAGATGTTTTTAGGGCACCTCTGCTGACATCATCCTTTGCATCACAAACACCCTTGGAGGTGCCCAACAATCCTGGCCTGGCTGAAGGCTGGGCTCCCCAGGGGAACCACGGCCTGGGTTGTACCCATGGCATCTTCCCGCCCTGCCCTAATCAAAAGGGGAATCCTCTTTTTTTTGCTAATTGGCCGAGCGTTTCTGAGTTCTTGGAGAAGCAGTCAAGGCGACGAAAATGCCCGTTCTTGACGTGAATGAGATTTGAAGTTCTTCAGAAAATATGTTAGAAATCCACTTGGCTGCTGTAGCTTCTCTTCCGCAACCTACTCCCCCTCCCCCTTGAAGTGTTTGTGTGCTAATTAAAAGTGAATTGAAAGTCTTTGAAAAGCAGGCTGATTGCAGAAATGAACTTCACAATAGGAAGGGTTGCAGCACTAAACTCTATCCCTCTCAGAAGAAATCAGGAGGTGCTTTATATATGTTGACTCTCAATGTTCACCTAGAAGGAATTCTGTAATTTTTTCTATATTTTTCTATGCAAAATTACAAAATTCCTTCTAGTTGAACATTGAGAGTGAATCCCTCTATCTGACTTGGGTTAAAGGTGTGGCAGCTGAAAGGATAGCCACACCTGGAGGTCTGCACACAGCATCTTTGCCAGACATCTGTACACTTCTTTGGCATTTTGGGTAAAAAAGAAGAAGAAGAAAAAGGAGCAGGTCTCCCCTTCCCAGACACCAATAAATCAGAAGATCAGTCAGGACTGCCTTGCTATTATGACTGCAGGCAAAATATAAAATAAATAAAAATTTTAAAAAAGCTTCAGGGTTCTAACAGGATAGCTCCAAGTTAAAAGTTTGGCTCCTCTACTCAAATATATATACAGTATATATTTCACCCTTTGCATGGTACAGTCACCCCTGGCACCGGGGCACCTCCTTCAAAATGCACGCGTGTGTTTTAATGGTTGAGAGAATAAAGGAAACCTACAGGACTCCTTTCACCACCTGCCTGACGCAGCTGGAAGGCTGGGCTTGGGAGGGGGAGTTTGTGGGGAGGCAGGCAAAATAATAAGGGGCAGCAACTTGGTTTCGGCTGCTTGGGAGCGTTGTCGCGCGCTTCCCATGGCCCGGCACGATCCTTTCACCGCTCCACTTGTCTCCAAGGCCCGCGGACACCAGTTCCTTCCAAAAGCAAAGAAGAAGAGACTTGGGGTTTTTTTTATTGATTTTGGGGGGTGGGAAATTATTTTACCACTTTCAATTGATAATACACAAGAACACGGCAATTAAAAAGGCAACAGAAAAAAAATTCAACTCACAAAACAACATTTTGATGCATTTAGATTAAGAGGGAAAATAGGTTGTCCATATTCCCCCCTGTGCTCCCCACCACCCTTGGGACAAATTTACTTATTTGTTTTTCTTTACCTTTTATACCTGCCATACCTGCCCTGTTTCTCTCCAGAAATACAATAATTCTTGTCCAGGGGTTTAACCTTTTCCTTTCTCAAACACATGTACTGTACTAAAAATACATTTTACATATATTTAAAATTATTGACGCTCGAGACTCCTTTTCTAATCTTTATTTCCCTCATTAGTTTACCAGAAACAGCCCTATTCCACATTCTTTTTACACTATTCCTCCATATTAAAGTGAGGATCCTTCCAGTTCGCTAGGGTCGGTCTAGAGAATTTTCCCGGTCCTCCCTTTCCCTGGGAACAAGAGAGAGGAGCCTTCCGGCTGCCAAGCAGATGTTCCCATCCCTGTGTCTCTTCTTAGGTATAGAATTTAAGTGGTGGTGGGGGTGGGGGGAGGTCCTTCTTTTGATTACAACACCCAGAACTCCTAGCCAGCGTGACCAGATAGGTGGCTGATGGATTCTGGATTTTCTAGTCCAAAGAAGCGATGGAGAAATGTAACCGTATTGAGCAAGTTTTGCCTTCCATCTATTATTCTTTGCTTAGATTATTCCTTGCTGCTCTGTGCTAGGTGCCCGCTGAAGAATTTCTGGTATGGGGTGGAACATGACATTTAAGAGCTTCTTTTGCAAAAATAAAATAAAATTAAAAATCGCCATTAGGTTAGAAGTCCAAATCACGTAGTAAAGGGAGGGTTGGGGGGGTTACTTTATTCAAATTGTGAGCTCATCGGCTAATTGGGCAATGGAGACAGGTAAGAGGGGATTAGGGGGGTGGGGGTTGTAGGTATAAAATTTTATGCACAACATTTTTCTGGTAGAGTGAGAGACTGTGATTTTCTAATGACTTTCTCTTTCTCTCCGCTGTTGCGACTGTGTCACAATAAAGGAACTCCTATTTATTTATTTATTTATTTATTTATTTATTTATTTATTTATTTATTCTATTTATACCCCGCCTATCTGGTCAAACGACCACTCTCTATTTCTACTATAGGCGGATATTTCCATCGCAGAAGTAACTTTTCCAGGGTCTTGAGTGGGCACACCGTTTCCAAATAAGACTTCCTTACTCACCTGCGAGCACTCAGCTAAAAACCCGCTCTTTTATATGAACAGCCTGTGCAACTGTGTGACACGTGGTGTGAATGGACTGTGTGTCTGTCTGTCTGTCTGTCTGTCTGTCTGTTTGTTTATTTATTTATTTATGTATTTATGTATTTATTTATACCCCCGCCTATCTGGTCAAATGACCACTCTTTATTTCTGGTGTGTGTGAGAGAGAAAGAGCTTGTTTAGAGGCCTGTGTGCCCAAGTAGTCAGTGAAGGGAGAGTCTGTGTTAATAATTAAATAAGAAAGTGATTGACATCGTGATTAGCTACCTGTGATTTACATATTTTATTTTGTTGTACTAATAAACCAGTTTTTTTTGTTTTGAAGGAAACAGTTGTCCTTCTTGAATAGTCATTTATAATTGGTGGCAGTGTGTGTGAAGTGAGGTGGTGGGCACTCTGAGAGGCCTGAGTTGGCAGTGACATCAGAGTGGCCTCCTGCTACCTTTACATTATAATACCAAATAATGTAAAGGTAGCCGGCCACTCTGACGTCACTTGCCAACTCAGGCCTCTCAGAGTGCCCCACCACCTTTCACCAAAGCTGCTGCCACCAACCTATCCTTAAATCAAAAGGACAAGTATTTCTTTTAAAACAAAAATTGGTTTATGGGTACACAAAGTAAAATAAGTAAATCACAAGTAGCTAATCACGATGTCAATCACTGTTTTTTTCATTTAATTACTAACACAGACTAAGACTCATTAACACTGACTTATTTAATTATTAACACTGACTTTCCCTCACTGACTACTTAGGCACACAGGCCTCTAAACAAGCTCTTTCTCTCTCACACACCAGATCTGAATCTCAGTTTTTTTGATGTTGAGTTTCAGACTGTTTTTTGCACTCTCCTCTTTCACCCTCATTAAGAGGTTCTTTAGTTCCTCCTCACTTTCGGCCATCAGAGTGGTTGTTGATATTTCTTCCCGCAATCTTAATTCCGGTTTGGGATTCCTCCAGTCCAGCCTTTCGCATGATGTATTCTGCATATAAATTAAATAAACTGGGGGACAATATGCAGCCTTGTTGTACTCCTTTCCCAATTTTGAACCAATCAGTTGTTCCACACCCAGTTCTAACTATTGCTTCCTGTCCCACATATAGCTTTCTCAGGAGATGGATAAGGTGGTCAGGCACGCCCATTTCTTTAAGGACTTGCCATAGTTTGCTGTGGTCGACACAGTCAAAGGCTTTTGCATAATCAATGAAGCAGAAGTAGATTTTTTCTGGAACTCTCTGGCTTTCTCCATAATCCAGCGCATGTTAGCAATTTGGTCTCTAGTTCCTCTGCTCCTTGGAAATCCAGCTTGTACTTCTGGGAGTTCTCGGTCCACATACTGCTGAAGCCTGGCTTGTAGGATTGGGAGCAGAACCTTGCTAGCATGTAAAATGAGTGCAATTGTACGGTAGTTGGAGCATTCTTTGGCACTGCCCTTCTTTGGGATTGGTATGTAGACTGATCTTTTCCGGTCCTCTGACCACTGCTGAGTTTTCCATTGATGATGATAAAAAAAGCACACTGGTCCTTTGATATTCGGCTGTGGCACCAGGGTGGGTGACATGACCTTTAGCCTGGTTTGTTCCTTTTTGCACACCACACATAGAATGATTAAAGTGGTAGGGAAGGCCCCACCCCCACCCCCAATTCTGCGTTGCCTGTCTCTAGCAAGCATTGCTAGCACCACTCTGGCAGCCACCTCTGCGAGCTAGCAAAAATTTAATGCAACTTGCTAAGCATGTTGAACACCTTACTACTCCCTATACCACACCATGGCTGGAGTGCAATGTGTTCCAGCAAAAATAGTGCACATCTTTATCAAATTTGGTGCATCCCGCTAGTTCGGTACACAGCCTCTGTAGATTCAATAATATTTTTAATTCAAATAATGTATGATTTCCTTCCTTTCGAATCAAGGGGGTAATGTCGGCATATATAAATTTTTTGCGGGGTAAAAGGTAAAAAAGTTCCCTGACCCCTGGTCTAGTGTGGCTGAGGCCAATTATAGAGTGACAATCTCTTCCACATTGAAGACAAATGCAATCTGTCCCCTGTCCAGTCCCCTGGTTTTGCTGCTTTTGTGACTTCCTCTTTGCCTTGGCCTGCTGGACAAGGGTCTCTTCAAAATGGGAGAGGCCGTGATGCAACGCCTGCAGGACAAATGCCCCGCTCATAGAGCCCTGGGTTGCTCCCGAAAGCTCATGCTCTTTGATCTGCATATAGATGTTTTACTTTTAATTATTAATTTTTTTTAAGTCCACAAGTAAAAAACCCTCTGAATTTAAAAGAACATGAATTTTATTTATTTTAACTGCTGTCTATGCGTGATGGCACAGAAAATACTAAATACAGGAGTCTTTAGAACCAAGGCCTCTTCCACCGGCCAGCCCACTCAAAGAACATTAACCCGAAACGGAACGCACACTCGAGTCTATCATTTTTATCTCTCTCTTCAGCCGCTTGAGGGCAGAATGCATCATGGGTAACGTAGTTTTTTACCCCCTCTTTCGCCTTTGCCTCTTGTCAAAGTCGGGCCTTGTTGACTTCCCTGCGCCAGCTCACAATAGAGGTGGCGGCAGACGCTGCGAGAGTTACTTTCCGACCCGGCTTCGACCGCGAGTGGCAGAAGGGAAAGAGCGAAGTGGGCCCGAGAGAGACCTGACGCTCAACCAGACGATGGCAGGCGGTTGAGAGAGTCGTGAGAAGAGCCGGAGGAAAACGGGGGAGGGGGAGGAGGGGAGAGTTGAAGTCAAGGGAAGGCGGCCCGGTACGCGCCTGCGCGGAACGACGGGGTAGCGGCGGCGGCGGCGGCGGCGGCAAGAGGAGCAGCAGCAGCAGCGCTGGCGCTGGATAGTGAAGTTGGAGAAAGCGCTGCTGATAAAATGGTAGGTTTGAGGAGGTGGCGGCGGCGGCGGCTGTGGCTGTGCCGGTGGAAATCAACCCCTCCTCCCCCCCCTTCCGTGTGTGTTTCAAGGCGAGGGAGGAGGAAGCAGGGCAAGCTCCTCCTGTGGGGAGCGAGGGCAGCTGCTCTGACTGCTCCTCCGCCGCCTGAGGGCAAAGGGCAGCGCAGCCAGCGACCTTCCCTTCCCTTCCCTCCTCCTCCTCCTCCTCCCTCTCCCTCCTCCTCTTCCTCGTCGCCCGACCCGGCATCTCGAGGTCACGAATGGGGAGGGAGGGAGCGACGGGCCCCCCCACGCACGAAGCGTCCCACGCGGGGCAGAGGTGTTGCGGGGGTTCCCTCCTCCCCATCTCCTCAAGCACACCCTTCACACACACCCGCACCCCGCCGCCGCCAAGCTCCCCAAACCCTGGTCCTTGAAGGGTGCCGCTGGCCGTGAGGGAAGGAAGCTCCTCAGGAGTACCAGCCGCTGAAGCGAGCGCTGGCCGTGAGGGAAGGAAGCTCCTCAGAGTACCAGCCGCTGAAGCGAACGGGCTCTCTCTCTCTGTGTGTGTGTGTGTTGGTGCTTTTTTGTGGGGGACGGACGGGGACAGGCACCCGTGGCGAAGCCTCTTAGGAGCAGAGTTGGCACTACCGCCCGCCCTCACTAGCACCACTATCGTGACTGACTTCTCAACAGCACCAGGACCACCACGTACCTTTCCCTTTTTTGGGCAGGGGAAAAGCTGGCAGGTGGCAGCAGGCTGACTGACCTCTTTCGCTTCCTTTTCCTGCCGCTGCCCCCTTGGTGGGTTGTGTCCCTCCAGCTTTTTGCACACACACACACACACACACCATCCCCGCGCACCGCATGCATTGTACCTCGTAATAAACTTCACGTATTTTGTGAGGAGCTTGGAGTTATTGGTGGGTTGTGTCCCTCCAGCTTTTTGCGCGCACACACACCATCCCCGCGCACCGCATGTATTGTACCTCGTAATAAAATTCACGTATTTTGTGAGGAGCTTGGATTTGATTTTATGGGGCAGGTTGAAGGCCAGGGTGAAGGTATCCGGTAGGCAGGAAGAGCTGATCTCTCCCTCACCCGGGAGGTGTCCTCTTTGCCTACAAGCCCTATCACTCTTGATAACTTTATTCTGATCCCCATTAGCACCACCTATTTTCCCTTGAGGCAAAGAAACAAAAGTTTAAACCACAGACTCAGATCTGAAGCAGAAACAGTATGGAATGAATTTCTTTGTTTCTAGCTCCAAAGTTGCCCATATTGTTTACTTGTAATCTGCTGTTAATTTTTTTTAAATTGTTACTCTTTCCCCATGGAAAATGTAATACCTTTGATTATGAATCAGAACCCAAGAGCAGAAGAGGAAAAAGTACAGTTTGCTTTAAGAATAAATCTTAAATGTTTGCATCTTGTGGTTGCTTGGCAGATACAGAGATGGGGATTTATATTTTATTGGGATTTCATCTGCAACACAATCACTATGTATATGGGACTTATTTAAACATAGGTGTGAAGCTCCACAGTGTTTTTTTTTCAAATTCCTTCTTAGAGGATGTCCCCAAATATGATATGAAAATAACAGTTGCATTCCTCTTGCTAAGAGATGTTCCAAGGCCATTTTGACACTACAGAAATGTAACTGAAATAGTAATACTGTATAATAAAAACATGTTGCTGGAAGCAATTTAATCATGGCCACATTTTTGCAGAGCATATTTTAACATTCTTATACAGTATTATAATCTTAACAAGCAGTAATGAAGTGTCTACTACTGCAGCTGCTTTTTTCCCTAAAGCCTCAATGATACTGTAACTAACAGTGCAATCCTCTGCATGACTGTTCAGAAGTAGGTTTTATTCAGTTCAGTAACATGTGCTTTTAAGTAAGTGCATATAGGAATGCAGCCTTCATCAGAATATATGTCATATATATGTGTGTGTTGATCTTTCTACCTGAAAAAGTGGTGGCATATATAGAGATGCAAAGCAAAGACCAAATGTATTGCTTTCCGATTTTTATTCTGTACAATGTACATATAGATGTTGTCATTTCCGTTTTCAGAAGAAAATGCTGTATTTAACTGCAAAAGAACAAGGATTTCTTTGGGTTATCCTGGAATGCAGTGTGTTACCTGATCAGGAGAATTAACATTTTTATAAAGTTAGGCAGTTGTAGTAGAATTCTTAGACAAACCTGGCTTCATTGGTTTTCCTACTTCTTTTGCATCCCAAAGCATAAGCTTAAATCGTCTCAGAAGGACAAAGTCCGCCAGTTTATGGCAGTTACCCAGGCTGGTGAAAGGACTGCTATATACTGTTTAATGCAGAATGAGTGGAAATTAGAAGTGGCAACAGATAACTACTTCCAGAATCCAGACTTGTACTACAAAGAATCCATGAAGATTTCAATAGACCGAAAGAAATTAGAACAGTTGTATAACAGGTACAAAGGTAATGTTTCCTTTTTACTTCCTTCTTGTGAACTTGATTTCTATTTTATTGTATGCCTTTAGAGAGAGGGGATGGCTGCAATCCTGAACATTATTAGTAAGAAAATTCTTTCTCTGTAAGCATGCATAGTATTGGACTGTAAAGATGAGCCAAGAATTCTCATGTAGTGATCTCTCTATGTACCAGTCCTGTGTGGAGCAAATGTAAAAGTTATCTAACATCATTTTATATGGAATCTTATAAACAAATTGAGCAAAAGCAAATAGAATATTGCTTTAAAAAAGAAATTGTATGCAAGAGAAATGTATATACATACAGACATAGTCTAAATATTATGAATTTCATTAATTACATACAGGATCTATAAGCTAGATATTTAAAGTTTTATGATCATGATTCAGTTCTTCATACAGATAACTTGTTGGAACTACTGGAATGAGTTGGATGCATTTCTAAATATGGATAGTACCTGTTGCTTAGGACATTGCTTTAAGTGGAATGTGTCCTCAGATGCATGTTTGAATATGTATTCCCATTCACCTTGCAATATGCATGCATTCATTTGAATGTTGTTGTTATTTAGTCGTTAAGTCATGTCCAACTCTTCGTGACCCCATGGACCAAAGCATGCCAGGCCCTCCTGTCTTCCACTGCCTCCCGGAGTTTGGTCAAATTCATGTTGGTAGCTTCAGTGACACTGTCCAGCCATCTCGTCCTCTGTCGTCCCCTTCTCTTGCCTTCACACTTTCCCAACATCAGGATCTTTTCCAGGGATTCTTCTCTTCTCATGAGATGGCCAAAGTATAAGAGCCTCAGCTTCAGGATCTGTCCTTCCAGTGAGCACTCAGGGTTGATTTCCTTCAGAATTGATAGGTTTGTTCTCCTTGCAGTCCCGAAGACTCTCAAGAGTCTCCTCCAACACCACTATTCAAAAGCATCAATTCTTCAGCGGTCAGCCGCCTTTATGGTCCAGCTCTCACTTCCATACATTGCTACTGGAAAAACCATAGCTTTGACTATGCGGACCTTTGTCAGCAAGGTGAAGTCTCTGCTTTTTAAGATGCTGTCAGGGTTTGTCATCGCTTTCCTCCCAAGAAGCAGGGGTCTTTTAATTTCGTGGCCGCTGTCACCATCTGCAGTGATCAATCTCACACTTAAGGAAGTGTTGAGAGTGTCCTAACCTATGGCATTCTGGCATGGTTTGGGTGTAGCTCTGTAGCGGACAAAAAAGCTCTACAGAGAACCGTTAAAATTGCCCAGAATATCATCGGGCTCCAGCTACCAACCCTGGATGACATCTTCACATCCCGCTGTCTGAGGAAGTCACACAGCATCCTGAGAGACTCTTCCCATCCTGCTTATAACTTTTTTGAACTGTTACCGTCTGGCAGAAGATATAGAACAATTAAGACTCGGACCACACGTTTTCTAAATAGTTTTTATCCTAGAGCTATAATTGCAATTAATAATGAGCTTAAAGACCACCAGTAGTGAATAATTAGTTGGACTGTGTTACTTGGCCTAAGGTGTAGATGTTTGTATCTTTAGTGGGGGACTTCTCGTGGGTGGGGAGGGTTTGGGGAATGTTATGTGTGTGCATGTGTCTGGTCTCTGGGTGTCTGTGAATTTCGTTGTATGGGTATACTGTGTATATACTTACAATGACAATAAATTATATTATTATATTATTATTATTATTATGGAGCCCAAGAAAGTAAAATCTGTCACTGCCTCCATATCTTCCCCTTCTATTTCCCAGGAGGTGATGGGGCCAGTGGCCATTATCTTAGTTTTTTTGATGTTGAGCTTCAGACCATTTTTGTGTTCTCCTCTTTCACCTTCATTAAGAGGTTCTTTAATTCCTCTTTATTTTCTACTATCAGAGTAGTATCATTTGCATATCTGAGGTTGTTGATATTTCTTCCGGCAATCTTAATTCTGGCTTGGGATTCATCCAGTCCAGCCTTTCGCTTGATGCATTCTTCATATTAAGTTAAATAAGCAGGGAGACAATATACAGCCTTGTTGTACTCCTTTCCCAATTTTGAACCAGTCAGTTGTTCCATATCCAGTTCTAACTGTTGCTTCCTGTCCCACATATAGATTTCTCAGGAGATAGATAAGGTGGTCATTTGAATGTACATTCCATTAAAAGCATTGCAGAAAGTATATATAGCATCTATATTTGGATGCATGTTTATTATGCATCTAGCTTTTGATCTAGCAGGGGTACATTTGAAGAAGTTAACATCTTTTTACACAACTCCTTAATTGGGTGAGAGTGTATGTTTTCTTCCTTTCCTAAGGATTTCCTTTATTTCCACCTGCAAGAATGTATTCAATCTTGGAACCTTCCCTAGCTGTGTCTTTGTGCTCACGTTACTGTGAACATATTGCATGAGATTTTCTGCATATCAGAAATGATTGGTAACTAATCAACAATGAATAAATGAAATGTAGAATTTTTAATTCCTCTGAGTAGAAAATGGTACAAGACAAATACATTATTAATATACTGTAGTTGAAATACTTTTCTGTTGTCCTATGCGGGTACGTCCCATCCAACATACAGCAACCCTAACAGCATTTTCACAATATGTGAGACATTTAAAGAGTAATTTTAGCATTACCAGCTCCTAGCGAGTTTCCATGGCTGAACAGGGATTTGGACTGATATCTTCTGAATTCTAGTCCATCACTCTTATCTACTACACCACACTCACTCTAAGTACATTTTACAATATATCTTACTGTAGTTCGTTGCTGACATAACTTTTGAAAAAATTGTATATTTTATTTTATTTTATTTATATCCCGCCTATCTAGTCACGGTGGACTACTCTAGGTGGACTACTATATGACTTTGCATACAGAGAAGGAGAAAAATATATTTTTTTTATATATATGAAATATATCTTACTGTAGTTCGTTGCTGACATAACTTTTGAAAAAATTGTATATTTTATTTTATTTTATTTATATCCCGCCTATCTAGTCACGGTGGACTACTCTAGGTGGACTACTATATGACTTTGCATACAGAGAAGGAGAAAATTATATTTTTTTTCAGTTATATATATGACTTATGTCTGTTCGGAACTTTGATTCATGTCTGTAGTTTGCCTGTATATTCTTTTTTATAAGCAGGTACCTTGCCAGATGAACTTAGGAAACCTGTGCTCAAATTCCTGTTCAGCCATAGCAATTCACTTAAAGGTGAAAATGGTAAAACCACTCCTTAAATATCTTATATACCTTATATAACTGATATACCTATCAGTTCTAAAGGAAATCAACCCTGAGTGCTCACTGGAAGGACAGATCCTGAAGCTGAGGCTCCAGTACTTTGGCCATCTCATGAGAAGAAAAGAGTCCTTGGAAAAAACCTTGATGTTAGGAAGGTGTGATGGCAAGAGGAGAAGGGGACGACCGAGGATGAGATGGCTGGACAGTGTCTGCGAAGCAACCAACATGAACCTGACACAACTCCGGGAGGCAGTAGAAGACAGGAGGGCCTGGCGTGCTCTGGTCCATGGGGTCACGAAGAGTCGGACACGACTAAACGACTAAACACACACACCTTGAAAACCTTGTTAGCAACTTGAGAGTGCATAGCACGTGCACAGCACGTGCACATTTTATTCTTCAACTGTTCAGCACATCTAACAGTTGTCTTACTTGTTCAGTACCAGTCACTTTTCCTCCAGAACCTCAAATGTGCCAAATCTTCATTGATTCATGAATCTTTTGTACTCTCAGTACAATGTTCTTGCTTTGGGCACTAGAATTAAGAGTATACTACAAAATAGTGGTTCTAATGTATTCTTTTTATAGCTCATTATTATTTAGCTATATTATAAAACTTTGACATCTTCCCAAGTTGTTATACTTTTCCATGATATTTTGCATTCCTAATCCTTTTCCGTTTCATATGGTGGGGCATACCACGTAATAATCTACCACTTCACTGACAGACAGAGAACAAGAGACTCATACTCACTGGCTCCTTCAAAACTTGACAGTGTGTCTTGAATTCAGGTGGTTTGAAATATAATGATTTCTTTTGGTCATCTTTTGTCCTTTTATTCATATTTCTTCTGTTTTAGGCTGGATTCCTTATGCATATGTAAAAATCTGTTCTGTAGATTTTAAACTGTTTCTTTAGCTTGAATATACCTTTTTTGTGCCATTGAAGTAGGAGTCAGACATAAATTTAATATGTCTAGGAAACTTTACTTAGGAATGAGATGTTACTAGGAAACTGGATTTCTCTAAGTGCCCTGTTACTGGTAAGGAAATAATGTGGTGAACTCTTGAGCTTCAGCAGAGTTGCATGCAATTTATCCCAAAAAGGTCATTTACACCTTGTTATATTTCAGTTTCATACATTTATAAGCTTAGTTAGATATATAATATTGGAAATTACATTCAAGTTAAGATGTATTTTTGCTTTCCAGATATGTACAAACTTTCTAGAAGCATATGACCACCTACATTTTTTTAATAATTGAATCAATCAACTTTAAAGGTGCAAAAGGATTTTTGGCATGTATTTAATGTAAAGCATAGTGTTCTGTCTTGCTTTCTTCAAATACAGACCCACAAGATGAGAACAAAATTGGCATTGATGGAATTCAACAGTTTTGTGATGATTTAAGTCTGGACCCTGCCAGTATCAGCGTTTTGGTCATAGCATGGAAATTCAGGGCAGCCACTCAGTGTGAATTCAGTAAAAAAGAATTTGTAGATGGAATGACAGAACTGGGGTGAGTAATGGTTGTGTTTGACAGGATTCCGTTTCTCTTCATAACCAAGGCTGAAGTGACATTGGCCATTGCCAACATAGTCAAATGCTGAAATGTCATGGGAAATGCAGTTCAGCACCTGGAGGTCCACATGTTGCCCACCCCTGCTGTAACCAAAAATAAGTCTTTGTCAAATACTTTAAAGGTGTACATTCTGAATAACTGCCTTCTTTAATTCAAATTGTTCTCCTTACACTCAGATGACCTGAGCTGCAATCCAGAGAAGCCATTTGTTGACAAAGGAACTGTGCATGTATCCGGAGCTTTCTTTGTAGCATTTACATCCACAGCTCCTATAGCCAAGAAAGTAAGCTCCATTTTTAAAATTGAACAATGACTTGTCTAATTCACTGTGAGAACCATCTCAGTGAGAATTACAAAAAGTGCTCTGAGCCATGCACTTGTTTCCATTAGACATTAGTGAGGATTTTAGAATTGGGGCTATTCCCTGGCAGGAAACATTATTTCTTTGTCTTTGCATCTGATTTGTCCTCTTCAAAATTCCATATTTAGATTTCTTTTTAATTCAATTAAGAGTATCATTCTAGGTGTCTAGGTTCAGACTTAAATTCCACAGCTTGCAGTGGGGAATATGTGCAACCAGCTTAGTCTGAATCCAACCCTGTGTATATATTCAAAAGGCTTTTTTCTCTGAGCAATTTGCTTTAAAATGAAGCTCGTCCAGTATTCCACAGGTGAAGGGGAAGTGAATCTTGCTTTTTTCATTATTTGGTTTCTATCTTAACGCAATTACCATAATTCATCATACTCATAACTTAAGCTTAAGATAATTTCCATTTTTCTCAGTTTTTCAGAACTCCAGTCCTATTACAGCAGAAATAGATCCACAGTGTGTGAAGAAAACAGTTTCATATGCAGTTGCATCTCTGTAGGCTAAATACAGTAGTTGGGTATCCATTCATCTTGTCTTATCTACAAACCCAGACAATATTTTTCTGTCAGCAAGCACCAGCTCATTGTGGGGGCAAGAATCAGAGACCACTTCTGATACACACCCACTCTTCCAAGACCCAGCTGCTGTAGCAGTCACATACAGACATCTTGTTCTATATTTTATATGAACAATATTGGGATTCTAGGGATGCTTCCCTGAAGTGGAGGAATGAACTGGTTTCATCTGATAGAGGTGCTAAAATTCCCAAAGTGAGAAGTGTTGGAAATATTTTCTGAGCACCAGTCAAGGCATTTCCATTACCTATTGTAAGTTTGGACAGTGGAGACAGCAACTGAAAGAGCATTTGTGCGGGCACTATGTCCCTTCCTACATGATCTAGTCAGTAATTGGTTTCCAGTGTTGACAGATGGATGCTGCCCTCTAGCTTACCAGCAACCTGGGTGGGATACAGGACAGATGAGTATAACATTGAGGGATGTTCATATGTTAAAAGTAGAGATGGGGGTATTCGTATACGCATATGAATATCCCCCCACAGGTGCAGATAACGAGGGTCCAGTCCCCTGGGGCCAGATCAACCACTTACCTGTCTGCCACTGCCACAGGCTCCGTGATCCCGTCCTATCACTCTGGAGCTCACAGTAGATTAGCCACTTCTGGCAGAAGGTGGGATGACAAGCCTCTCTGCCAGGTCCAAGAGTGGCTAATCCACTCTTGTTATCAGCCGGACCCTTGTTATCAGCACCTGTGGGGGGAATATTCGTACATGAATACAAATACCCCCATCTCTAGTTAAAAGCCATAAGGCACAGGAAGAATACTGACCAGTGTTTAGAGAACAACCCATAATGTTTAGGGTAACAATATCTAGACTGATCTTGTCAGTAAGCTCACACTAGTGCTCATCACTAGTGTGAGCTTACTGACAAGATCAGTCTAGATATTGTTACCCTAAACATTACCCTAAACACTCATTGTTTTCCTTGCTTACAACTCTGTCAATTCCTCCTCATGCTCCTTGCAAACAAATGACCATAACAAATCTTATTTGAAGTAACTAAACTTATTTTGGCTTCATTAACCAAAAAAAAATTAAGTTTACTACTTAAAAATTCTTTATGGTGATGGTTTCCTAACTGTTCTAGGAAGCAAACCAATACTATTTTTAATCTTCTAAACTGTTTATTGTGCCCATGGACAAAAAAATTGAGTAAAAGTGATAAATCAGTTCACATTAAATCAGATCAAGCAGTTCTTTCAGAATGCTAAAATGGGGCTTAGTACATTTGCAGGAGAAATTAGTGGGTTGAAGTTTAGCCAGTTTTTCCCTACAGATGATTGATTCTCATATTACTTTGGTAAGTGCTGGTTTGTGGATATGCATTTGCCAGGTTGATCGTGTGCCGTTTTACCCTTTTGGGGCATCCTTTTGTTAACACAACATGTAGTTCTGCCCTGTTTTAAATAGTTGTAATATATATTTTATTGATTTTTAACCATTTGTTAGTTACAGGGAGTTTGAAAATCAATTTTCAAAAGTACTTCTGCAGTTTTTTTTTTACAACCTGTAGAATGGTTGAATGAAGAACTATATAATAATCCATGTTATTTGATTATATTAAATTATGATCATCAATTTGTCATGAGCTGATCTCTGCCTTGCATATGGCTGTTTCCCAAATTGCAATATAAGCTGATGTTCTTTTGAATAAAAAAATACGAATTGCTGTGAACAGTGAGATCATATTTGTAATGTTCATTGATGTGGCTGAGGTTTTAATAATCAGAATGTTATCATCTTCTCAACAGGTGTGATACCACAGACAAGCTAAAGGCACTTTTGCCAAGGCTGGAACAAGAATTAAAGGATCCAATGAAGTTTAAAGATTTTTATCAGTTTACCTTTAACTTTGCTAAAAACCCTGGACAAAAAGGTTTAGGTGAGTTTCAGAATACAGACTTCAGTTTATGTATTTTCAGTAGTTTTGTTTACTTTGTCATTATTAGTTTGATGTTTCACAGAAGCATATCTGTGATTTCTAGCTTTTTAGATGGAATCCATTCTGCCTGGATTGTAAGATCAACATTTATCCAAACCAGGGAAGGGGTACCTGCAAACTTTCTCATACAGAATTGTTGGCTAAGATTATATTTTGGTTGCAAACTTTTATAAAAGGAATTTATACTCTTCCCATCCTGCTTATAACTTTTTTGAACTGTTGCCGTCTGACAGAAGGTATAGAACAATAAAGACTCGGACCACACGTTTTCTGAATAGTTTTTATCCCAGAGCTATAATTGCAATTAATAATGAGCTTAAAGACCACCAGTAATGAATAGTTAGTTGGACTGTGTTACTTCGCCTGCGGTGTAGATGTTTGTATTTTTAGTGGGGACTTTTAGTGGGTGGGGAGTGTTGGGGGATTTTTTTTAGTGGGTGGGGAGTGTTTGGGGAATTTTATGTGTGTGCATGTGTCTGGTCTCTGGGTGTCTGTGAATTTCATTGTATGGGTATACTGTGTATATACTTACAATGACAATAAAAAAATTATAAATTAATTAAATTATAAATTATGTGGTTACTGAAAGCTTTTACTTAAAATAGTGTTTGATGTTTATTTATTTGGTTTTTTTCAATTTATATTCCTCATTTCTGCCAAAATGGGTATTCAAAGTGGCTAACAAAATTCAAATATAAATAAAAGTATGTTAAGACTCATACCAACAAATTCTTCTAAATATCAGCCAGAATTTTCAGCATCTTTTAAAAAGTTTTACATGTAAACCTCTCTGAATGGCCTTGGTTAGGAGTTCTCTTAAACAAGTAATAAACTTTCATAGTACAATTTATCTGTTTCAGAGAGGCCCCATTTCCTTTCTACTGGAAACCCAAATGGCTGGTCAGTACCGTCCAGACTTTTGAGAAAAAATGCTTATTGAATGTATCTTCCAGTATCTTCAAATCAAACAATCCAAGAAATAGCAGAATTAAAAGAACAAAACAACCAAAGAAAAATTAACTAAAACATGTTCCCTAGAGTTGATTCCATTTTCAATTCCTGATGAAAAGTGATCAGAGAAGGAACCACTCATGAAGAGTTTTCCATAGTTGGATGCCATGATGGAAAAGGCTTTTTGTTCCTTCTCACTAACTGAATTTCTGCCAGAGGGGAGACTACAAATGTAGACGATTCCTGTGAGTCTCCAGTCACTAAGCATTGAGTACATAAATGGATGGGGAGATGAACCAGTACCAATTACTGGATTGAGAAATTTTGCTGAATGAAGGTTTGCTTTTATATTAAGCTATATCATCAGTATATAGATTTATTCTCCAAGAACAATCTCGTGAACATCTTTTTTATTTACTGTGTATTTCCATGCACACATGATACAAATCTGGCAGACAATCTGAACAAGTTTTGTTTTATGTGCAGATCACTCTTGTGGAATAGGATGCATACATGTGAACTTATTCCCATTGAGCTTTATGATCAATCATTTGGAAAGCTGGCTTTGGAATTTTGCATATGAGCTAGTTGGGTGGATATAAAACATATTATTGAATTAATTATCAATGATTCAAAATGCACACATAAATGTACATGTATAGGATGTCAAATAATATAACATGCAGTGCAAAAATAGTAACTTCTGTAACAAGCTTATGAGATTTGTCTTCCTACACTATGTTGAAAATGAAAATATTAGTCTTAAGTTTTCTTTCACTTCAGTGAAATTACTGAAGGCTAAACAAATGAAAGGGTTTTGTAGAATATCATTGGTTTGTTTGTTTTTTTCTTAAAAGATTTCATGTCCCGTTGAATTTTGAAATTATATTTCTCTGAGAAGGTGGTTGTCATTTGTAATTCAGTTCGTACTGAGCCAATGCTATTTGTAAAGCAAGACTTTTACAAGTTGGGTTACATGGCTCTCTTTTGACGTATTTTTGACTAATTAGTTTCAAAGATCTTCTGTCTGATTGCGTAATGTGGGAAAAACCCTGATGAAATATCATTTAATAGTCTTTGTTCCAGTGAGTTCAAGTGGGAGATGTCTTAGTCTGAACTCATGAATTGGGGTTTTATAACATGCTATGTGCAAGAGTTACGTCTGAAAAGCAATTTCTACATTCTTCCAAAGAGTAAACGAGGCCAATTGGTTGCTAAATTATCTCCTAGAAGTAATGTTTTATGAATAATATATCTGCTACAGTTAGGAAGCTATTCTTGCTTTGTTGACAGTCCTTTTCCATTCTCTGCTAGGTGTGCATTGCCAGTCACAAGTTATTTAGGGTAGGAAGTATGCTTTAAGTGATTAAATTGGTCTTTAAAAATCTTATCAGATAAGTTGCCACCAACATTCCCTCTAATTTTCCTGCTGAGTGGGGCTCCCCCTGTGCAACTCTGCCACTCCATATGTGGGATTCTATTGCAACCAGAACAAAAGGAGCTGGAGACTATTGCTGTGGGTGTACAGAGGAGGAGAAGGAAAGCTGCATGGAGGGGGCAGAGTCACATGCGCTCATGCAGCTGCTCACCTTGATTGCCACATATAAAGTTTGCAAAATAGAATATACACTGTCCAAAAAACTATCGGTTGTTTTAACATTAAAAAAACTGGTATAGTACATTTGTAAAAAATTAAATGTGAATTATTTTGCTCATTATTAAATATGATAAAGTATATCCTTATTTAAAAATCATACCTCCTTCTTGCTGGCTAAATCTATTTTTCCACTAGTGTCTTTGCAAAGATAATTTTTTAGGTCTGAAGCTGTGTGACAATGAGTAAGCATGTACAGAATACAGTAGTGCCTTACTAAGGTTCTTATGGATCTTTAAAAAATCCCATACTACTCTCATATAGCCATGCAAAGATACAAAACATTAAGATCTTAGAGAATTCTTACTGCTGTTATGTAGCTACAAAAGTCTTGAGCTATTTAGCAGCTAACCAAAATGCTCTTTGTAATATTAGCCTATATGAAATTTTTATTTTAGAAATAACTTTGCTAGTTACTCACACTGCAGTCCTATATATAATTAGCAGGAAATAAGTTATATGTAACTTAGCAGATCCTATTAATGAAGAGACATACATGGATGAGGGCCGAAATCCTCTCCCAATTTTACCAACATAATATAAATGGTGTATCTTGCGGGGGGGGCAGAGCTGTCTCAAGTTAAAAAATTAGTATAGTCACTGTCTGTAGTGTACTGACTTTGTGACTTTATGCACAACAGGTAATATCTATTGTGATTTCTTCACTTGAAGCAAGTCACCTTCATAAATTATTATTTTTGCACAATGATGCAAGAGGATTCTAATCATAAATTTTAAAACATCAACAATTATGCACATTATCCATAAGACCAAAAAATGCTAGTATTTTAAAGTAAGGTTATTTTATTTTACTTTTTGCATCATAAACCATTATTATTACATAGACAGCTTCTGCTGGTTACTCTCAAGGGTGATTTTGGAAACTTAGCTGTTCAGTGAAGTTGCGAATCTTTCTGGCACTGTTGTTCTATCTGCTTTCTCCTTTAGCATTCCAGGCAACGTACCATCTAACTTTCAGCTCCACTGGGCGGGGCCTCTCTCAAGCACTTGACTTCGCTTCTGCATGCATGCATGCCTCCCCCCTGCTGCACAAAGGGGGAAGACAGATGCACAGAGGGAGGCAGAGGCACACACTCATGTGCCCAACTTATAGGAAACCTTAGTTCCAGGCCTTCAAAATTTCAAGTAACCATTGCCAGTTAGACCCTTGTCAGTGAAAAATTATCTGTCCTCCATGAAACAGAGATGAGCACTTTCAGGAAATTTTCATGTTTCTTTTTCAAACCACTGGCAATTTTCTGTACGGAATTGTTACATTTTAGTAAGAAAAGGTTCATTTAGGAAAATAAAACAAATTTCCATTGTTAAATTAACTTACTTCCAGACTGAACTGCATGTTCACGGTAGAATCCTATCCTTCTGAGAAAAAGGGCTCAAAAAGGATATCAGCATATAAAACATGTTGCACAGAAATCCGAAGATAATTTAAAAGCCTCTTAGCTAAGGGAATTGTGTATTCTGACTCAGTTACATTATATATTTTAACGTAAGTAGTTATTTTGATAAAAGAGACAGCACGATTTATACCATCCTTGAGCATGTATAGCAAGTTTGCAATATGTTGTGACTATGAATGGATGGCTGTAGTCTGGTTTTACTTTTGGCACAGCTCAGAGTCCATGGCTGCAGACAGTCTAAGGAGCAATTGCAGTGAGAAGAGTTTTCAAAACCCAGATCCTCTTCTTAAGTTAATCTACCCTACCGAAGGAATGCCAGCCTTATCTTAGAGGCTCAGACAGGATAGCTGTGAATGTCATTCACGAGCACTAACAAGATAACATGTACTATCTTGAGAAGCAAATATTTGTGTTCATGCAATGGAAACCAGTATGTATGTACTCTCAAACTGTAGTATTGTTGCTGTCAACAAAAGCCTTTCTTTTTAAAAACTTTTTATCTATACAGAAATAAACAGAAACAGAAAAAAAATCTAATAAACAAATATTTAAATAGACATTGCTCCTCTACCCCACTGGGACCATTTGGGAGTAACAGCTAGATATGGGGGTATTCGTATTCATATACAAATACAACTCTCCCTGCGCAGCTGGATAAAAAGGGTCTAGCCCCTGGGGCTGGACCATCTGCTCATGTGTCTGGCGGCGGCAGCCTCACTCATCCTTCAGTCACTCCCAGAATGCTACTCTCTTCCCGCTCAGCTGGCCACTCTGCAGCTGTGCAGGGAGACTTGTCCTCCCTCCCCCTGTCTTGAGTAGCTAGCCAAGTAGGAAGAGAGCAGTGCTCCAGGAGTGATTGGAAGGATAACCGAGGCCGCCACCAGTGCGGGACACATGAGTGAACAGTCTAGCCCCAGGGGCCAGACCCTCACTAAGTCCAGCTACACAGGGATATTCATATATGAATACCCCCATCTCTCGAAACAACCTATAATATTTGCTGTTGTGGAGCCCCATGGAGAGCTCATTGCAGTAATCCAAACAGAGTTAACTTGGCTTTGCTGCTTACTTGAAACTTTGTCGCCATTCATGCTCTTTTCAGCTTGATCAGCATGGGATTTCAGGTATCCCCTGAAATAGTTATCAGACTTCCCTTCTCCTGCTCTTCTGCCTTCAGTCAAGCAGGCTTCTGCTGCTGCTTTGTTCAACTTGTAACCATTGCCTGTTTCTAAAAGTTCCCCAATAACTGCTTGTCTACATGGCCTTTTACAAACGTTCCTGTCCCAAACTTCTCATCAGTCATGTTTTTTAAATATTTCTAACTTCCAGTGCAATTTTTGAAGCACACCTTCATCACCTCAAACAAAAATAACCTCCCCCTTCATTTTCATACTGTCATTTGGAAGCAAAGCATTCACTTATGAAATGGTTCTCAACCTGGGGTAGACCAGGTGTTCTTGGACTGTAATTCTCAAAAACTCTAGTCAGCACAGCTGGTGGTAAAGGTTTCTGAGAATTGCAGTCCAAGAACATCTGGGTCTCCCAAGACTGGGAACTACTGCATTAATATCTCAGGCCTAGTATACAGTACAGTATCAAAGCTAGGCTTCTGTCCTACTTAGTTATATTCCTACCTCACTCAAAAATATAATCATTCAAAACATAAACACCTGAAATTTGGTTCAAATTCATTCATGCCTATATGGAATGTTAACTTTTTTCCTGTGTATGGAACAGAATTCTTATAATGGGCTTTTTTCTTTCCTCCTGCAACTTCCTGCATCCCCCTTAGTGTACTCCTGGCCATTGAAACACCCTTGGGAGGTGAAGGAGACAGAGGTTAGAGTTGACAAACTTTGCCTGTGTCCCTTCTCATAGATGAGTAGATGAACAAGTTGGGATTTTAGTCAATTGAGTTGGAAAGAATAATTTTGCATGTTATGAGCAGCTTTGTACCTTCATCTGGTTCAGACATAATGTTCCTGCCATAAGAAACCATAATTGTTAACTCAGAAATTAGCCTATGCACTCACCTTTTACCCTTTGCCCACAGCTTTGACACTTGAGTTACCCATCTGCTAAAATCTCAGTTTCTTGTACAGGATCCCATAAGTTAGTGTTTCCATTGTGCTTTAGATAGTTTAATCCCGACTTTAAATCCTCAGTAGTAAACAGACATTAAACTGCAGCACCTTGTTTCAGACATCATAGGAAATTGATACAAAAAGGTCAGGATCAAAGTGCTAAAACTGAGGGGCAGGGAGCAAGATGAAAGAGAGAATGTGTAGGCCTGAGACTCAGTTCACAGTTTAATAAACCAGAGTAGGTAAACAAAGGCATTTTATATCCAGAAACTATGAAAATTAGTTTGCTGCTAACAATTTCCAGTGTTCTGGTGATCTGTTTTTATTAGCAAGAGCCATACCAAAAATTGTCTACTCATTCCCTGTCTGAAATCCTGGAGTTTTGTAATTTATATGATAATCTAGAAACTAATTTACATATAGTATCCGTCTTGAACTGCTTTCCTTATGGTGGATGCCCAGTGGTGATGCAAATAAATAATGAAGGTTGTTGCGCAGTTGCATGCTCTATTTGTGGGCAGCATTTTCAGTTCTCCATATACAGGATTTTTATCAACCTCTTTCTTATCTGTATTTCTTTACAGATGTCAGTTTTTGACTTGGTAACCTGATCTCTGTACAGATTTTAAGATGTTACAGCAGAGGTGTCTAAAGCTAGATAAGCATTATGTGTGCCTCAGATTGGCACTGACCTCTGATAAACCTAGTTCTGGGAATGCCCAAGATAAAGCTACAATCCTGTGTGTATGTCTGAGTTCATTGGGTCATTCTTCTAACTAAATAATGCACAGGATTGGTCTTTAATAAAGCAAAAAATAGCTGTTTCAATTTATTTGGACTGAAATGTTGATCGAGCACTAGTATTGTCTTGGTCATGTATAGTATAGTATAATGATGTAATAGGGTGTTGAGTTACATTTGGTATTGAATATTTAGGAGTAATATGTCTGAATATATTAGTATTTCTAAGAGTAGATATTTGAAGTCTTTTAAACTTTTTTCTCCCTTAATGAGTTACTGGGATTTTTAAAAAGCATGTTGCTTTCTCTTTATTGTTGAAAATGATATTACTTTGAGAACTTACATTGGATTGATTATATGAAGTTACAAAATAAATACTGTATTAAAAATGTGGATTTTGAAAGTATATCTTTCATGATTTAAACTTGTTGCATACAAATGTTAAAGCTTTAGAACATGATTGAATTATTTCTCCAAAAATATGTAGACAAAGCATATTTCTCACCATACATAGTGGAGTACAGTGGTGCCTCGCATAGCGACGTTAATCCGTGCAGCAAAAATCGCTGCTAAGTGATTTTGTCGCTATGCGATTTAAAAAAACTCATAGAAACGCATTAAAACCTGTTTAATGCGTTCCTATGGGCAAAAAAACTGACCTTAAAGCGAAGATCCTCCATACAGCGGCTATTTTCGCTGCCTCTTATGCGAGGAATCGGCGTGAAAACACAGCGGCCATTCTGGAACCACCAATCAGCTGTTTAAAAATAATTGCTTTGCAATGATCGGTAAGCGAAACAGGGAACCGATCATCGCAAAGCAATAAAACCACATAGGAAACATCGCAATGCGATTGCTTTTGCGATCGCAAAATGTAAATCGCTATGCGGTTTTGTCACTAAATGGAGCGCCCGTTGAGCGAGGCACCACTGTATCTAGAAACATAATTTACTGCAGACACATTTTTATTGACATGTTATAATTCTTCATCAATTTTAGCTTAGTTTTTTTACAGCAACAGGTCTAGAATAAGGCTTATATAATTGCATGCTGTATTTATGTCTTTCAGATCTAGAAATGGCAATTGCATATTGGAATTTAGTCTTATCAGGAAGGTTTAAATTTTTAGATCTTTGGAATAAATTTTTATTGGTAAGTACAATTTGTACTGTATTTCTCCTAGTACTGAAGGTGATTTTACAGAGGTATTTAAAGTCTGTAATTAATTTGCTCAAGTTCCATTGTGCTAGCAATCATGAATTTTAAGAGTTATTGCAACAATCAGAATTGTATTTGGCTTTGTATAAGGTTTGTGTAACTTGTTATTATTTATTTATTTATTTATTTATTTATTTATTTATTTATTTATTTATTTATTTATTTATTTATTTATTATTTTTTATTCCATTTATACCCAGCCTGTCTGGTTAATTGCAGCAAACTAACAAGTGCCAGGGCTCATCTCAGTTACACAGTTGGGGTGTGTGTGACCAGGCTCACAGCTAAGAGGACACCCACTACCTTGTCAATTAAGTAATGCAAATTATTCAAACCTTTTGTGAGTACCAATAGGATTCTGGCCAGTGGTATTCAGTATCACCCTTTTTTGTGGTGCGGTATGTTGTACAATCACTTCTATAACAGTTTAATCCAATGCAGTTATGCTGATATGGATTTTCAGTCAACTAAAGAAAATTGGGTTCATACTTTGGCTTTCCTATTTTACCTTTACACAGTTTTGCTCTGAGCTTTTATTTGGGCAAAGTGTACAAAATTCGACATTGGCTTATATTAATTTGTTGATCTTCTATAGGAACATCATAAAAGATCAATCCCCAAAGATACTTGGAATCTTCTTTTAGATTTTGGAAACATGATTGCAGATGACATGTCAAACTATGATGAAGAAGGTAATTGTTTGAATATACATAAATAAAAAGAACAATGTAGTGGAAGTACTGTAATATTGTTCATAAACTCCCTGTGAGTTGGACTAAGACTTGGTCATACTTAAAAAAAGACCTATTAAAATGTGTTAATAACTGATCTAAGACCTTTTTATTTCAATGGATCTACTCTTACTAGGTCTGTGACTGTGCATTAAAGATTGGATTGAGTGGATATACTCTAAGCATAACTAAGTCTTGATCCAATCCAGTGGGTCTTTAGAAGTGAATGTTTGTGTGTGCATGTACTTGTACATCATCTTGGTTCTAAAGTATAGATGAAGCATATACTTTAGTGTTAACACTTCACCATCCAGTTGATCTTTCTGTTAGAGGATCTCATATTCTTGTTTGAATAAAATCTGTTCAACTATAGACAGATCATTGTATTCACCCATAAAGTTGATCTCATTACACATACATAGTTTTTGAATCAAAACTGTCTTGACTTTTCTTTAGGAGCATGGCCAGTTCTAATAGATGATTTTGTGGAATATGCACGACCAGTAGTCACAGGAGGAAAACGTAAAGCTTCCTAACCATAGACTCTTCTCAGTGGACTTAATTTGCAGTCTGAACTGCATCAGGTAATGAAGACATTTTGGCCAATAACTGTGCACACTTGTCACTGGTTTCGAAAGTCGTGGTGGGATGCTACTGACGAAACAGAAATCACTACTTCTGCTTCAAGAAAATGATGGCTGACTCAGCGGACACTGCAAGAAAAAATTCAGAAGATAGCCCAGCCTATTTGTAGGATATTGGCTTCAATTATTGTACTGGTTGTATCATATAGGATGTAGATCTTGCATGATTTTATACTTTGGAGAAGTTTAACTAGAGGCCATTTTAGTAACATTTTGACAGCACAGCATGCCATTCAGTTCATAACCCAGGGTGAACACCAGCAGTTACATAATTACAACTGTATTATATTGTACTTATATTAAAAGCAGTATTTGTGGTATATAAATTAAATCCCTAAATAAAATTTGTGGTATGTGGTATTTTTATACAAACACAAAAGTTGTTGAGGTAATGCTGTGAAACATTTATTGACACATCTCTTCAGCTTGCTGCCAACATTCTTGGTGTATGGAGAAGCCAATCAGGTCCATTTTTAGGAAGTTTAATTTTCTTATTTTAAAACTGAACTCAACAAAAGTGTTTATTGATTGTTTGTATTCAGTCAGTAAAGAAACAGCAAATATACCTGTATTAGAGTAAATGTTAACATTTTCACTTTATAACTAACCAAAGAAATTTCTGGTATTTCATGATTAATTGTTTAACATTGAGTTATTGAATATAGCACATCATGGACATGATTTAGACTGAGTTATGATCATATTGAACTTCCACTGGAAGTGAGGTGTGCATATGCCTGATTCTCCCACTGCAATCAAAGGTACTAAAAAGTGCTCAATAGGGCAACCTTATGTGGTCCTGCTCAGAAACAAGATGTGTTGACTTAACTGGGCCTTAGATTCAGTTGTACATGAATAGAATTGCAGCCTAAAGCACACCCTACCTGTGAAGCATGTCAGATGGCTAGTCAGGAGCTAATTGATCAGGGCCTACAAGTGAACTGCTAGAGGGAGAGAAAGAAGGTGCTGTGTCTTCTGTGCATGATGGGTGAATTTTGGCAGATATGCCTTTCTCCTTAAATTCACTTTCATGTGCATGTGTTAAAATTGCAGGAGCCCTGCAACTGCTTATCTTGGAAAGAAATAGAAAAAGTAAATGTAAACATTACATTGGCCCTCATGTTGCCTGCTAAGTATATTTGGCTGAAATACAGTTCTTCTGCATTTAATTCTCCAGCAGCCAGCAGCATGCAATGTCAGGCTATGCAGATGAAAAATGGCATATTTCATTTTCAGATTAGGCATTGGGAACATCAGTTGTGTTCAGGAAAGTAAAACTTCAGCTTAGTAAAGAAATGTGGGAACTATATGTTTCCTATGTTTAATTTCACCACTAGATGCCAGTATATCAGCTCTTCCATTCTTCTGGACCAGTACTTAAGCTACAATTGCCTATACTGTATTATCAGTAGATTGTTCAACTACCTTGATGTATTTGTCCAGAAATATAGCAGTTACATATTATTGCATTCATTCAGATGGCATCAAGAGCAAGATTCCAAAGAGGTTGTAGGAGAGTTCATTCTGCCTTGCAAAATCAGTAACGTGTAAATGCTTTGTCTTGAAATTCTGGGCCTCTTAATGTTCAATAGCCAGCCACCCTTGTTGACTGCTTCTTAATTCAAGTGTTACGAAGATTTTGAAGTGCAATTTAAACATAAATATCTTAGCAGCACATTCATAGCTTGTGTTAAGCTGTCTGATGTATTTCAGCATGCAGATTGTTATCATCAGTCATCTTGTTTACATGACTTCAGATTATATGTCCTCTAGTCCAGAGGTCATCAACTCCCGGTCGGCAACGCGGTGCCAGTCTGTGACCTGACACAGACCTCCCCCCGCACGCACTCCCTTCCCCACAGCTGCTTTGCACACACGCGTGCCAGTGCTGGCGTGATGTGCCCGAGCTCCTGCACAAAGGGGTGGTCACGCGCAAGGGTGGGCAGGTGCTTGTGCGCAAAGGGATGGGGGAGCGCTCACACCGGCGCTGGCATGCGTGCACTCCCCACTGCTTCGCGCATGCACCCGAGAGTATGCACGCGCAAACACAGGGGGTGCCCTGCCTTCCTCAGAGACTCAGCTGGTCCGCAGTCCCAAAAAGGTTGGGGACCGCTGCTCTAGTCTACACACTTCTGTGCAGAGAAAAATGCTAAAAACAATAACAATTAATCAAAGCAATTTAATTTTTTTCATATTTCCTTGCTATATTGAGATGCCTGGATCTCCCTTAGGATCTAAAGATGATCATGGAAGAAGACAGTAACTGATGGTAACTAGATACTAGATGTTCTGGAAAATTGTACAAATTCCTCTGCCTTCCCTGATGTGTGCAGTGTCTGTGTTTGCACATTGGAGACAAAAAGAGAACAAAATATATTTAAAGTCATTTACTATTGATATATTAATTTACATAATATTTTATAATGTTCAAGCCAATTTTTCTTTAAAGCAAAAGGTTATTAAAATGGTTAAAATATATAAAAGAGCATAAACATAGTATCAACACTAATCTACCATGACACAGGTCCTATTTGCATGCTATGTAGCAGGAATGTAGGCTAGAGTGAGAGTAACTTGTCCAAAAGCAGGTAATGAGTCCACTTGGAATATAACACAAATTTTCAAGGCAAATCCAGCTCTCTTCATCAGTAGTATCAAAAGGGTCGTGCTGTGGGTGTACATTTGACTGTTGCACAATTACACAACACAAATTTTAACTGTTACCAATTTTTCTCACAATCCACTTTTCTAAGAAGAATGGATTTATTAAGTACCATCAAATTGTGTGGGATATTTTGTGTTAAATGTGCTGCTGAGAGGTACGACTTAGAATGATGGAATGTAATCCATGCAACTGTTCAAGTGACTGGTCATCTCCCCCACCAAGTACCGATGATTTGCTAAGACTTCCTTTCCATTACTTTTAATTGCTGAAGGACATTGAAGTAGGCAGTGCTCTGCTGAATTAATTATTAACTCATCTTTTAAAGGTCAATCTTCTAAAATACTCATGAATCATGAACTTGTTTAGTTTACAAAACCATGTTTGTATTGCTATAATAGGAAATAATTCCATAATGCCCAATGGAATTAAGAAAATATTAAAAACAATATTTCCTTTTAGCAATGAATAGTAGTGTGCATTCATTCCTGTTTTCTTCAGAGTTCTGTGAACGTGTTTTGCTGCATTCAATATAAATGTATGTACATCCATTCATGCATTGAAACATTGACAGATACGGTATACCATTTGTCCATTGAGGGAAAACTACAAAATAAGGTGTCCTAACTGTTTTAATTGCTCAAGTGAACCCTAACAGAGCTTTTTTCACAAATAGGAAGGACCTAGATTCATGATGGAAATCAGAAACCACAGCTAAGCATCCTCTGGGAATCCCTACATGCCCCAGAATAACCCACTGGTGAGCGTGCAGAAAATGCTTTTCTAATGCAGGAGCACTAAGAAGTAACACTCTCCAAACTCTTCTGTGCAGTGTAGCATAGGCTGACTGTAACAAACAAATTGTATTTTGCAGGGTAAAATGCCCAAGGCTACCTCAGTTAATTTAGCAATTGGAGAAATAGAGGCTTTGCACTGTGTTCTTTTAATTGCTGACCTATTCAACAGCTGTACCTTAACAAGATCAGCAGTACTCCTAGTTTGTTTGTTTTTTTAGATTCCTCTGAAGAATAATTGAGGCCATAGTAATACAAAAACCAGAAAAAATAGACCCATTTGCACAGTCATAAAAATAAACTTCCTGATTACAGCATGTGTTTTTCTAGGTGTAGAGTTACTGAAACTTCATAGCCAAAATATTTCTTCGCTTGTTTTGCCCTGGATCATAAGAGGACTTCAGATTTTTGCTGGTTGCACATCCTAGCCTGCGGTACACTTTGCGAGCTTGCCACTTAAAAATAAGTCAGAAAATACTTGGACTAACAATTTTTATCCTTCCATTGGCCGTTAGACAAGTGGTGGCATCTGCAAAGCCAGAGAAGGAAAGGCCTGCCTTATATGGAAAGCTCTATGCAGTGACACAATGGCTCCAATATAAAGTGTTGCTCGGCCTGAGCTTGAAGGCAAAGGAACAAAGAAACACCAAGTGACTCTTTTAGAGACCAAACAGGAATTGGAAGAGCACCAAATTCATCTTGCAATGGAGAAATTTAAGGCTGCTATGTTACTGGCTGGGGTAGGGGATGCTCTGGGATACCGGAATTTCACAAGGGAGAACAATGCTTTAGGTGCACAGATCCAAGGGGAACTGAAAGAAATTGGAGGACTTGAGAATCTGGTTCTATCCTCTGACAAATGGCCAGTGAGTGACAATACTCTTCTGCACATGGCTACAGCAGAAGCTCTCATCACAGGTAGGAAAAAACTCAGTTGTCTGCATACAAGCTGGGATGAGATAAAATGCTGGGAAACACTTGTAACTGAAATATAGTGGTAGCTGATCAGTGAGTGTATACAGAGATGTGTATTATATTCAGTGAACAATGTATAGCATACTCTGCATTGGCCATGTAGTGGCGAAGAATATGAATTGTGAGATGAGCTTGGTTCAAATACCACCTCATTAGTGAATTCACTTTAGACAAGCCACAATGTCACAGATTTTTATATCCAGTCTGAGGAACATAGTACCCGGATGGCTGTTGTAAGTACTGAAAATAATTATATCTGAAGCACTTAAAAGTATTCTGTTTTATTTGAAATTGCTATTTGTTCAAAGTTGCTTCTAACTTATGGTGATCTTATGAATCAGCAACCTTCCATAAGTCCTGTTAGTAACAGTCCTATTCAAACCTGGCAAACACAAGGCCATGGCTTCTTTAACGGAGTCAATCCTTCTCGTATTTAGTCTTTCTTTTTTTTCTCTGCTACCTTCAGTTTGACCCAGCATTATTGTTTAAGTAATACTGTGTGAAGTAATCCTACTAAGTATAGCGGTAAGGTTTCTTATTTCTTGCTCTTTTGCTTGGTTGTATAAACCCCTAACACTTATTATTTGTATAAATCAAGATAATACCTTTATATGGGATGTATTGGTGCAAATTTACCTTGAATTAAATGTGGATGGGGAATGGGAAATCTATCTCATTTTTATCAATCACAGGTTCCAGTTTCTACCACATAAACATACAGTTGCCTCTCATAATAAGAATAAATTCTTTTCTGCATCAAAAGGTGTCTAAAAGTATGAATTACAATTGTATCTAATTTATATGCAATATTTTTGGCTCACACACAGTGCGGCCACTGCACAAAATATGAGAACAGAAAGTTTAAACAGTTGGGAAAACGTACGGTATTTGTCTACAGCAGCATCTATAGCCCTGCTAAATACGAATATACTTTTCTAAACTACTGTCTTGTTCTGTGTTTGATCTGAGCAATGTCAAAGTCAATAATCTATAGCCCTGCTAAATACGAATATACTGTCTTGTTCTATGTTTGATCTGAGCAATGTCAAAGTCAATGAAATTTCCCTTACATTCCACTGTTATCTTAATGAGGCCGAGATGCTCTAAATTTAGCTGCTAAAGGACTCTTGAAGAGAATCTTGGACATTTCATATTTAGCTACTGGCTAGCCAATGGTATGAACAAAAGCAAAAGCCCTAAAGATAATAGCCAAGATGTCAACCTATCAAGTGAAAGGATGACTAACATACTTCTGAATATAGTCACTTAGTCAGTGATTAAATGCACATCACATGTTTCTTGCTTCTTGATCTCTATGCAAACATAAATGTTATTTGCAAGGCTTATCAAGCTGTTCTGCAATGATTTTGACTTATACCAGCTTTAGAACAGCAAGCCACATATCCATCTACAGTATATGGTATAGAGCAGGGCAGCTATTGTCAAAATAGATCTTGGTCTTGAGTCCATCCACTGCAGTTACAGAAACTGGCTATATCTGTCGGCTGGTGTGCAATTTTTCACATATTTTTAAAAAAGCATTTTAAAAATGTATTCTCTAAGGCTTTCACAGCTGGGACCTGATGGTTGTTGTATGTTTTTCAGGCTGTTTGGTCGTGTACTGGAGGTTTTTTCCCCTAATGTTTTGCCAGTCTCTGTGGCTGGCATCTTCAGAGGACAAGAGTTAGAAATCTGACAGAGTTTTAAAAATTATGTCTTTAAAAAAAATTATGTACAGAAAATGAATCACATCCAGAAATGGTAGTTTTTGGCTTTCCGCAGCCTTTTCAAAAGAGCACTATACTGTGGATAATTTGGAATCTGGCTGCTCCAGGGAGTCCTTTCTACCTATGTTCGGTGATACTGTATACACAGTGCTTTAAAATACAGTGCACCCTCTACTTACGGAATTAATCCGTATTGGAACGGTGGCTGCAGGTCAAAAAGTCTGTAGGTCGAGTCTCCATTGACCTACAATGCATTGAAAACCGATTAATCCGTAACCTGCTGTTTTTGTTCCGTTTTTGTTCCATTTTGGGTTTTTTTCCGGTCTATAGGTCGATTCTCTGGCTGCAAGTCGAATCTAAATTTTGCAGCCAGAGAAGTCTGTAACTCGAAAAGTCTATAAGTCGAGGGTCCACTGTAAGTATTGGGGATGCTGCAGTCTGAACATTTGGCTCATAACACCATAGATTTGCTATTTATTACAACTCAACCATCAACTATGGCAGATAAGGTCACATAGTCATTGCCCCATACCTTACAGCTTCTCTGTATACATTATCCAGATTACTCCTATTTTGCAAATGGGGAAATTCATACTTGAAGATGGTGCCTTTTCCAAATGAATCTGTGGCTACCATTTGCTAAAATAACTGCAATATCTGCTTAGTCCAAAATTGCAGTCTTGTGACTATTCCTTCCTTCCACAGCTGGGCAAACAGAGCCATTGTCCAGGGAGCAAAAGTGGATGGAGGTCGATAATGTTTGAACTGGGACATACAGAGGGTAGAGCAGGATCTGTCCCACTATCTTGGCAAGGGCATGTCTGGCTCCCAAGAAAGTCACAGTAGCAGCTAACACTGAAAAACATTAAAATGTGTACAGGACTTGCCTTTTGCAGATTACTTTCTAAAGTTTCAGTGTTCTTCATCTGCTTGCAGTTTATCTCTCTGTTCGCTTATTTTATATAGAAATGCAGCAAATTAAGCCTTATGTGGAGCAGGAATAAAGGGACAGGGGAAGTGTTATTTGCTTTATTTCTCAGTGCTAGGTTGTTCAAAGGGAAAGGAAAGGAACAGTAAAAGTGTTACTAAGCTGATCTGTTAAAGGCAATACAATGTTTCAAAACAACATTTGACAGGGATGAGCTGTGACCTCACCAAAGTCTGAATGTGAGAATTAGATGCTACATTCTCAGACTGTATGATACTGTATTAAAAATCTTATTCTCTGTTGGATACTTTATCTGTGCTTCATTTATGTTTGGATAAGCACAGGAACAACTTTGTGGGACACATCCTTTTTTTGAGCATTTAGAACCCGTTTACACATGAGGAGAACAGATCTGTGTTGGTTATAGTTGAGACCAGAATTTGGAAGAGTTATCTTTTTGACTTTAACTCCCAGAATCCCCACCACCACCAGTGCTATGCTAGTAGATGAATTATGGGTGTTATAGTCCAAAAAAGAAATATTTTCAAGCTCTGAACTTAGCCATCTTCAAGCTGATTACAGCTATTCTTTAGAACTCACTTTGTGGCTGCCACCCTCCTTCTGCAGTTTCTGGGTTACTATCAAAGCCAAAGGACCTGCAAATGATCAGAGGCCCATGAACCTCTTTCTTCATATATATGCTCACCTGCTCATCCTTGCAGTTCTTTGTGGCCTGATAGTATCTTCCAATAGCACATACATTCAAGCAGGAATCAGCAATACAGCTCACTGGCACATTGATTTTAGACAGAAAGATTTAGACAGAAGACTTACTGGAACATGAAATCAGTACAGTGGTACCTCGCAAGACAATTACCTAGCAAAATGACAAACCCGCAAGATGATGACTTTTTGCGATCGCTGTTGCGCTTCGCAAAACGGTTTTCCCTATGGGCGATTTTTGCTGGATGATGTTTGGGTCCATGCTTCGCAAGATGATTTTTTTAAGGGACACTGTTTCACAAGATGACAAATTTGCCATCCTGGGTCCGTGCTTCGCAAGACGATTGTTTTAACAGTTGCTGTTTCGCAAGACAGCAATTTTCGCTGAATGAATTAACATCATCTTGCGAGGAACTACTGTATATAACAAAAACAGGATCCTAACTGAGAACCTTCCTCTTGGCTGAGTTGTGTCATGGCAAAATATTTACCAGTCTTCCAGATACATTTTTAATCCATTGGCAGAGATATTTCCTTATCAAGCCACTTCATACCTGAGACTCCCTACTGGAGGCTGCAGAAAAGTGTCCTCTATCCCCCAGCCTGTAGCACTTCCAAACCAAATGTGTGTGTTGACCTGATCAAAGATGACAGGCACCAGTACGTAGGCACACAGTAATCTCACAAAGAACCCATTGAAGCAAAGAACACTTTTCATGGAGTCCAGGTCATTTTACAGATTCAAAATTTCCCCTGGAAGTTCTGACAGGGTGGCTGATGACAGACCTCACAATACTATTTAATGAAAAATGTCTCAGGCAATTTCACAGGAAATCAAGAGTGAAATGATACCAAATGATTACATGAACAGATAAATCACAAAACAAGCCAAAGCTTTCATGTACTCCTCTTTCATGAACATGAAACATTCATGTTTAAGAGGCATATTTTTGTCCAAGATCCTTGCTCACATGAACATGAAACATTCATGTTTAAGAGGTTTATTTTTGTCCAGCTTTGCTCTCCTGAAACCACTGTTACAAAATGGTCTATCTGAGGGTCAACTAGACATAATACTGAGTTCTGAATTGGAGGCTGAAAAACATAGATTTCTCCTTAGCAAAGCTATTAGAATTACACAAGAAGCCTGTGTTTACCCTTTGATTATGAGTCGCAAAAAAGCAAATTAATTAGCAATATTCAGAAATGTGAATATTGTCATAGAACACTCAGACATCTTTTATCCCTTCATGGAGCACTATTCCAAAGGCAGAGCTAACTGCCTTATGTAGTTTGGCCTAAACAGCAAGACAGCCAGCAGACAGTCTGTGTAGAGACCAGCAGAAGTGCCCAGTGCTGTTCTCCAGAGAACAAGGCAAACTCCAAATGACTGCCTGTGGTAGGTCCGGTACTAGGAAGCAACCTGTTAATGGTAGAGCTCTGGAGAACAAAGCTAACCAGTTTTGCTCTCCACTAAGTTCACCCACTCTCTGTCTTTGCTCAGGCAGCCTTGGAACTTAAAGTACAAAGCTCTGAAGTACAAGAGTGTATCCGTGAAAAAATCTTTCCTCGTTGAAAAGAGTAATCTGTAAAAACAAAACAAAACAAGAAGTTGAAATCAATGGAAAAGATAGGACAACCAATGGAAGATACACTTAATTGGTCCCCAGAGCATAGGTTCTTTGCCCTGCATTTCAGCTGCAGGAATAAAATTTCCACTGCTTCTTTTGGTATTTTGTATACTGGAGTACTGTGGTTCAGGTTGTGAATTTATGTCTATTCAGAAAAGTAACTACTCTGGGAACTTGCAGTTAGAAGAAGAATTTTACATTTTATCGTTTCTGGAAATCTATTCAGAGATAAATCAGAAGAATAAAACATCCTAAACATTATGAAAACATGTGGCTGTCTCTCTCAAGAATAAGGACAGCTGTTATCTTTCCAGATTTTATCACGTGCCACTAGTTTGCAATACTGGTTACAATTATTGGTGTGGAGCTTCCAAATCTCAGTAAACTTGCACAAGATTTCACTAGCATAACTGTTTATAGAGTAGACAACCACAGCAGGGTGCTAAGGAGTAACTAATCCATGCCAACCAACCTTAATAAATAAAAAAGCATGTAGATCATAGATTGCCTTCCCTTTCTTTTAAACACTTCTCCTTCCATTGTTTCGCCTAATTGTATAACACGTTTTTTCACCTGAGCAGATTATTGGTGTTTAGAAGATCTTTACCGGGAACTTGTAAAACGTTATGTTGATGTTATTGACATACTTCCTGGGAGACGGTCAGACCCTGCCACAATTGAAGGCTGCTCACAACTGAAGCCAGACAACTATCTACTAGCTTGGCACACACCATTTAATGAGAAAGGTAAGGTGGATTATTATGGGCTGGAACAACACCTCTGCAGTAAAATGGGGAAAATGTATTTTCTGCTTGTTAGCCGTAAACAGATGTGACCCTGCTTGTAACAACATGCTTTTTTCATTATTTTTAATTAAATGAAGGTGTAGGTATGTACACTGTTGCCATGGTCATATCAGGGGGTGAGGATGATGTCCCTTGAGAGGAACAACATGCCTCTCTCTCTTGTCTGCCCTTTTAATTTTTTAAAAAAAGGTCTTTATGCACATGTTCAGGATGTGCAATTTTAATTACAGGTTACAAAAAGGGAATTGCAAAGCAGAAAAAGAAAGAAAAAGAAAGAAGGTGAGGGAGGAGCAAAGGAAGTGGGGAACATGGGAATGGGGAAAAGGTAGGCAGACAATGAATGGGAGGAAAGTGGCAGTCCATTACTGCGTGAAACTGTGGCATAAAATACTGTAAATAAACCAGAGCAGAAAATAACATGCAAGGAGCTATTCTGGACCACTGTGGGCCTGGGCATCACATGCTATGACAAGACTCTCTGCAGATTTGATCTTTTTTTTTTTCCTGGAGAGCGTAATTTCAGCCATTATCCCCCTGCTCCCAAAACTGATACAGTCCAACCTCACTGCCCTTTCAGGTTAACTCAGATTGATTGATTGATTGATTATTTTTACCGCATATTTCTCCTTAGGAAAGGACACAAGGCGGCTTACAAGACTTAAAGACAATATTTCAGAAGAAAACAATAAGTATACAAAAGTGACATACATAATTAGCAGGCAATATTTAAAGCTAAAAATGCTAAGTATAGACATATTAAAAAGGAACAAACAAAATACCCCTTTTAGAAATGGGAAACTCAAGCAATTTTAAAAACAGTCAAAGCAGTGATGCATAACAATCCATCTAAAAAGATCACACTCAGGCAGCCAGTCATTGAGGAAAAGCTTGCCTGAAGAAAAAGGTCTTCACTTGCTTGGGGAAGGACAACAAAGATCAGGCTAGGCTAGCCTCCTGTGGGAGGGAGTTCCAAAGTCTTGGAGCAGTGACAGAGAAGGCCTTCTTTTGTGTCCACACCAAATGCCCTTGTGAAGGTGATGGGCTCAAGAGGAAGGCCTCCCCAAATTATCTTAACACCCAAGCAGGGAAAGACAGTCTTTCAAGTAGCTTGGGACCAAGCTGTTTAGGGCTTTATAGGTTTAAGCCAGCACTTTGAATTGTGCCTGGAAATGGATTGGCAGCCAGTGGAGCTGCTGTAACTGGAGGAGTTATGTGATCCCTGTAACCAGCCCCAGTCAGGATACTGGCTGCTACATTTTGGACCCACTAGAGTTTCTAGACACTTTCGATAGGTAGCCCCATATAGAACACATTACAGTAATCCAGTCAGGATGTAGTTAAGGCATGTGTTACAATGGCCAGATCAGACATTTCGATAAACTGTTGCAGCTGGCACACTGATTTTAATTGTGCAAATGTATTCCTGGCTACTGCCAAAACCTGGGCATCCAGGCTCAGAGATGAAACCAGGAGCTCCCCCAAGCTGTGCACTTGTGTTTTCAGAGGGAGTGTAAACCCCTCTGAAGTGGAGTGCATCCCTGTTCCTTGATCTGCCTTTCGACTGACCAAAAGCACCTCTCTCTTGTCTGGGTTCAGTTTCAGTGTACTGTCCTCATTCATTACTGATGCCAGACACTGATCTTGAGCCGAAACAGTTTCATCAGATTTAGGTGGTAAGGAGAGGCAGAGCTGAGTTTAGATGATAAAGACTCATAAAGAGTTGGCAAAAATCTGTAGGAAACAAATCATTTATTTCTCAGTGGTAGGCATAGGTATCTCTGGCATAGAGCTGGGGCATACACCCCCTAATTTTGACAGGAAGTATCTCCCCACCCTGTTCTGCAAGGTATCCTTACTAATCGATAAATTAGTCCCAGCTCACTATTTAGGCTGTGTTCTACAGTTTAAAAAAATCAAGGCTGCAATACATACTGGGGCAGCCCTTCCATTAAGCGGAGGAAAGTTATCACCTCAGCAAGTGCTTGAAAGTGACAGTGAGATGTTAAGAGGGGAGATCTGTTTCCCATTCAGTGTGTTCTGTGTCTCTGAGCTAGGCTACTGCCTTCAGATGTATCCCATCATCAGTGTTGAAGTGAGACTCAGTTGTCTGCCTAGTTAGGTTTTGCTAAGTGAATGGGAAGGGTGTCATCCAGTTTTTCATTTCAGGTGGCAAAATTTCTTGGACTTGGCTGGGTCTATCACACCCTTTGTATGGTTCAGTCCACTTTTAAAATAATGGCTGTCTCTGTTTATTTTACAAGTGGGAGTTTTTATGCCACTATTATTATACATAGTTTATATTATTGTTTTAGTCTATTGTGTTTTATCTTTCAGTTTCTTAACATTCCATCTCTTTAACCACTTTAACAAGAATTTGCCTTAAAAATACCATAAAGAGATTTAAATTAATAAATAGGCTGTAGTGCTTGTAGCGCTATGGGGCGGTATATAAGTCCAATAAATAAATAAATAAATAAATTTAGCATACATTTTTTTTGAGTAAAATTATGAGGTGCAATCCAGGAATTGTTGTTATGGGCTGTCAAGTCAGAGCCAACTTATAGTGACCCTAATAAGGCTTTCAAAGCAACTGAGGCAATTAAGAAGTAGTTCTACCATTTCCACACCCCTGGTGCGTTTTCATGGCTAAATGGGTTTGAACCCTGGTCTCTAGAGTCCTAGTCACTCTACCCACTACATCACACTGGGTACCCCACAATCCAGGCATACTACCATTGTACCAAACAGGATTCATTTCCAAGTAAACAAGAATAAGATTATAATCTGATTCTTCTGGAAGTTTCTGAAAACTTATTTTCTACCTCTTTCAATGTTAAATAATAATAATAATTACATGCTGTCAAGTTGATTCAGAATTATGGCAGCCATTCTCAGGATTTACTAGGTGTAAAGGACTCAGAAATGACTTACCTGTCCCTTCTTCTGGGGGCGCTATGAGACTATTCAGCTTGTTTAAGGCTACACAGGCTGGCTATCCTTCTCTGAGGTACAGTGGACTATGTTAACTCTGGTGTTTTTTGAAGAAGAAATTTGCATAGCCCAAGAGAACTGTCAAAGGCTCTTCAGGCAACTTTGAGCTATTCTCCTCTCCGTTTATCTGATTAAAATGCCTAATTTTAGGACAGGCTTACTAGTGAGGTATATTTTCTTTCAATTCTTTATATGCTTTGCAAGTTTCCTCTGTAAAGAAACTCTCGATGTTTTTTGGTTTTTACCCCCCCCATGAACAAAAGACATGTTTCTTCTTTCTGTGCACTATGACCATGAGTAGAAGGATCATGCCTTTTGTACAGGTCTGCAACAATTTCATATCTGCCCAGAGATGCTAAGTGAGCTGCCGGGAATTCCTTTGGTAGGGCATTGTGTCCTTGCATACGTCATCTCAATCTAGTTATCTATTTAAAGAGCCTTTGTCCTTGGCATGATGCCTCCTGGTCCAGATTTTTTTCTCCTGGAATTCTGTATTTATTTTCAGGAACACAATATGTCATGTTTCATTTAAGGGTCTGTACTTGCTACACATTTGTCAGTGTGAAGTGATCTGAAATCAGGTTGCTGAGATGACAAAACTGGATACTGTACATGTATTAAGAGCCAAAGTAAAACTCCCCTGTGGGTCCTCGGGGAAACTTAAATTATTGCTGCCTTGGACTATTTCACTTCTGGCATGCACTGCACAAAACCCGTAAGTGCAACGCATGTAGTCTGCAGAAATCATTTAGTGATCTTTAATCATGTTAGTTCAAAAGAGCTCACTTCTTCATTGGTACAACATGACCTCAGACAAGTGATGCAAACTCCCGTTCCAGCACCATGTTGATATGACACTATATCACTCACTGGGATATAAAACCACTCAACACTATCATCATGTACTGATGAAGTACCATGGCATAAACATTGCAACGTAATATGGTGATTATTTTTGTCTCTGTGCAATCCTCTCAGTTTGACAGACCTGTTGCTTTCCTTGATTTTTCAGTTAGCTCGGAAGGCAAGGTATAGGAGGCCAGGAAACTTCAGCAGATTTATTTCCTATGGCATGGCATTGTACGGCACAGCACCCTATCAAACCCATACTATATAGATCTTTCAGGGTAACAGGTAGACCTGTTCCAGGCACCATTCTCTCTTTTATGCCTATAGTGATTGATTCTAAGAAGGTACTTGAGAAGGTGTTAGTACTTTGAAAAACAAGCTCACAAGATAAGAGCATTCTTTTTTTTTTTTGCAATTCTTTTTTATTTATATTTTTCCCTAAGTAAGTTCAATTGGTGTGATATCCACCATGGTGTAGCGGACAGAGTAGCACAGCAGGGCTTAGGAGGCGTGTGTTTAAATTCTGGCTCAGCCATGGAAACTTACGGGGTGTGTGGAACAGGCAAAATCACTCCTTAAATGCCTCACATACCTCGAAAGTCAGGTAGGGTTGCTATAAGTCAGTTCTGACTTGAAGGCACATAACACAAACTTCAGTTGGTACAGTGAAGTGGTATAAGAGAAATGTCTAACTCGTAGATGTGTAGTCTTGAAAGGTGTTGAAAGGCACACAGTTCCAGAGCTAACGTTTTAAAAAGTTATGAAACTTATGTACAGTATAACAAAGCTAATTTTTTAAAAACCAAAACAAAGGTTTTTGCAACAAAAATTTGGTGACTTATTCCATTACACGTTGTATTGATTGTTCGTTTTTCTATTTTTAAAAAGAACTTCAGATTAATATGAGAATCAAACTTCACAATTTTAGCTCAAAATGCCTATAAACAGGCCTTAAAGTAACTTTTAAAATAAGAAACTTGTAACTAGAAAATATTATGCATCTCCCAAAGTATATTTTCATGTGATGCATTATTTTGGAAATGTAACTTTTTGGTACCTTTGTTTCAAACCAAGTAGAATTGCAGTTAAACCACCATCAA